GTTCGGTACGAATACGTGTACCGTTACACCCCTAATATATATATATATATATATATATATATATATATATATAGTCAGTATTTAATTATTATTCACCTGCATTACATATTCTTCATTTAATAACTCGCTTTGGATAAAAGCAGCTGGTAAATGAATATAAATGTAATATATAGCAGATTAAAGCTGGCCATGTTGTTTGGGGCCCACTGTAGTCTAATCCAGGCTCTTTCAGCTAATCAGATAGAAAGAAAGCAGTTATAACGGATGGGCTGCCTTGTTTGTAAATTTTTTTCTTCTGTGGAGCAGTATTTGGCGAGGAGGCTCGGGTTCGATACTATTTGGTTCGGGTATCTGCAGACCACAGTCGGAGTAATTCAGCTGCTTGGAGGCCCTATTTATGGAAGGTAAGCAGTCAGAACTCATCTGTGTATGGTGTGTATGGAAATTGGATAAGTATGTGTCTGTAATTACGTGTGCCCAATGAGACTTACTAATTTATTTAATGTCTTACTTCAGTTATAGGACTTAAAATATAGGTAATGTATGATATAGTGATTTCTTTTATTCACATGTGTCATTGTGTCTGTTTTCAGGTGTGCAGATGTGTTCGGAGCACGCGCAGCTCTCACTGTGTCTTGCTTGGCATCAGTGGTTTATTTCCTACTGTTAACAGTGGCAGACAACACTTTTATGCTTTTCGTGCACAAACTACCTGCTGTTTTCATGCATGGACTGCCAGGTAACACATGCTCATACACTCTTACATATGCGTAACTCAAACACACTGTATAGGTACGTGAGTACATTTGTATTTGTTTGTAGGAGCTCAGATGGTGGTTGCAGATCTGTCAGAGAATGAGAAGCGAGCAGATGCTCTTGGGAAACTCGGCCTCTGCTTTGGCATTGGCATGATCGCAGGATCATCACTGGGTGGGACCCTCAGCACACGCTTTGGGTAGGACACACTACATTACGCTTCCTTCAGAAAGCATTCTAATATGCTGATTTGACATTAATATTTTTTTCAGGATTATTTGATGAATTCAAATTCAAAAGAAACTCTGCTTTTGTCTACTTGTACAAAACGTTACCATTTGATCACTGGAAATACAGCATTTTTCCATTTAAACCTAATCATGTTATTTATCACATGAAGATAAAATGAAAGCAGAACTAAACTAGTAAAACAGAATTGAAATGCCGATGGTGATGTGTTTTGCAGGGAAAAGTTTGCAGCATCGTTTGCGGCTGTCGGAAGTTTTGTTTCTTTGCTGTTGGTGTTGAACTTCATCCCTAAACAGACTAAAATACAAACCATGCCAGAGAGTAACAGTATGACATAAACAAACACACAACTCACCTAGACACAGAAGGAATTCTCTTGCTGTAGCCATTTGTAACTTTATTATATAAAAGTCTTATATTAAGAATCTGATTATAATATATTATTTTATAATATATTATATATACTATTTTTTTTGCAGCATTACACATTTTATATATTATTAAATGTTATTTATATATAGAGAAGGGATCATCAAATTCCGTGTTTAATCTGGGGGAGATCACTAGACTGATGAAGTTTCCAGGTGTTGCAAAGACTTTTACAGTGAAGATTATTTCTGGATTGCCAGCAGGTGAACCCACAACTATTGCCATTAGTGACTTTAAACATATTTAAACACCCCTAAATTGCAAACATACTTAAAGTTGACCATCTAAAGTTCATCATCTATTTTCTAAATGCATGTTATTGATCTTATTGTGAACGATTAATAATGCATACAATAAGTAAAAAAAAAAAAGACCTTTTGAATGAAGTTACATTTATAATTAAAATGTCAAAACTGTCAAATCTTTCGGTAAAACGACAGACTTCTCTCTGGTGATGTATGCTGGACTTCTCTAATCATTTAGTCTGCATAACCCACCCCTTTCTTACAATCGACTGCACGCTCGCATTCAGATATGCCTCCAAATCAAAATAACCGATGAGTGGAGCCCCCACATTTGATAATCTGTTTTCTCAATGTACCTAACAAAACAGAAGAAAAAAATCTGTCCATAATTCAGTTTCATCATGACTTTAAATGTTGTCTTGTGTTTTGTTTTAAAAATCTCTATATGTCGGTTTTATTGTAGGTATATTTCAAGTTATGTTCTCCATCATTGCCATGAACTTCTTCCAACTGAAGGCAGAGCAGAATGGCTATCTGATGGCTTACTTTGGCATAGTACAAATGGTATAAACGCATGCACACTTCTTATCAATCACATGCCATATAAATAGTTTTGGATTTAAGCACTGCTGTACTGAGGCAACAAGTGACGCTGGTATCTTGTTGTTAATAAGGTAATCCAGGGTGCTGTAATTGGGCGTCTTACGTCTAGATTTTCAGAGTATTCTTTATTGCTGCTCTCTGTTGGGATATCCAGTTTAGTGGGCCTTGCACAGGTAAACTGATACTGCAAACAATTCCCTTTTTTTTGTTTTAAATTATTTGGATAACAGTTGTGTTAGTTAAACATGGAAGCTGGATTATGTGACTGGTCTCACAGTGTGTGTTAAATATATGTGTTTTGTGTGTTTTTCAGGCTATGATGACCAATGTATTTCATTTTTGTTTAATCGTAGTGCCGATGATGTTTTCTCTAAGTGTCTTCAATGTCATCACAGATAGCATGTTGACCAAGAGTGTGTCTCCGTCTGACACAGGTAGTCCACTAGCACACACACATCCTTGACTGAACAAGACGCCTTTGTGCATGAATGCAATACATGCATATGTATATACATTGTACACAATGCCCGAGGAGGAATCATTTTCCATGCAAATGTTTTCTTAATGCACTAAATGTAAAAATTGTTTGTGTGGTGTGTTCAGGAACCATGCTGGGTCTGTGTGCGTCGGTGCAGTCTCTTTTGCGAACTGTGGGCCCAACCATTGGAGGATTCCTCTATGAGACATATGGTGTGCCATCCTTCGGATACATCCAGTGTGTCATTAATGCTGCTGTCTTTAGCCTTCTACTAGCCACCGGAGGGCGCTCACAGCCACACAGACCATAAAAATTGTGAAAAGGGTTGTTTCATGGCCACACTGTATGACAGAGGGCAGTTTACAACAAACCATGGGCATTGAACTTACCTCCTCACACACTGGGGAAGGACTTAACCCAGCTGATCTCAGTTTTGTTAATACCACAAACATTCAAAATATCTTATGTTACTGTCAAGTTACTCCACTTTATATCACAGGTTAGCTCAGGATTGTTTTTTTAATGAAGTTTCATATCTTAAAAAGGAGCTGGCATGTAAATGTCTACTGTAGGTCAGTACAAAGAAGCGCAATATGCTTTTATCTGTGGCATTAGGGTAGTTTAAACAATCCCATATTATAGAGTAATTATTCATTATAATAATGTTGCAGTTATAAGACATCATGAAAAAGAACAAAATTCAAAATAGATCATTTTGCATCTGAAACTTCTTTTGTTTTTTTCTCTCTCTCCATATTTATCTTGTTCTTCTGCACTGCAACTCCTGCCAAGTTCTTCAAGATCGCCCAAACTGTGAGATTCAATGTGCACATTTTATTATATGACACTGCTCTAATGCTGGATAGCACCCCTTTTCAAATCTCGAGTGAAATCTGTCCACTCTTTTCCATGTTTAGCTTCACAGCACATGCTTATTAGTCCAGCTGCACATGTTCACATCACTGGTACATAGATTCTGACTTTTACTCTGTTCCTCACAACAAGGTGGATTTAAGTTTCCAAAAATAATGTTTCAAGAATGTTCTTTATTAGGCAGACGTTAAGCAGAATGCACTAACAGCTTCAGTTAAAATATACTTTCGTTGCATCTTTTTTTCATACAGGTGCATCTCAATAAATTAGAATGTCGTGGAAAAGTTAATTTATTTCAGTAATTCAACTCAAATTGTGAAACTCGTGTATTAAATAAATTCAGTGCACACAGACTGAAGTAGTTTAAGTCTTTGGTTCTTTTAATTGTGATGATTTTGACTCACATTTAACAAAAACCCACCAATTCACTATCTCAACAAATTAGAATATGGTGACATGCCAATCAACTAATCAACTCAAAACACCTGCAAAGGGACCATGGTGTTGGTGTGCTTGACTGGCCAGCAAACTCACCAGACCTGAACCCCATAGAGAATTGTTTATTGTTATTGTTGCTATTATTATTAAGGAGAACGAATCTTTTAAAACCTTCATTAACTGTTGCTCCGGTAGCAGTTGGATCAAAATGATTTTCATTTTCACTATATCATGAAAAAAGAAAGAAATATCAACATTTAAGATTTCTTCCTGCAGCGGTGCCTCCCGTTCTCTCGCTCTCTCTGTAGTTGTGGCTATTAGTGCTGGTCATTAGCATATATTATGCAAATGACGGGCGAGCGGGTGACGGGCGTTATCTTCAGCACCTGAGATGCGCGCGGACACACAGGAGTGAGAACGCGAGAAGCAGCTGCATCCAGACGGGAATATGCGTCGGTAGTGGCCATCGGTGGAAGACTGTGAGGGGAGAATCTCGTTCCATTTCAAGTGATTCACATGAGTCACGGATGGATCCTATTTTAACTCCCGGAAAGAAACTTTTTTTACTCTATTTATTATTCTTTATCTTAATATATCAAGGTAAGCAGCATGACGATGGACTGATGTGTTCTGCTCCGATTAACTGATCATCATTTAGAGGAAAAATACATGTAGATAATTAAATTGTATAATTAAGTTATATATTATTGTCAAGGAAATAGTTGTTTTACACTACATAAAACTTTTTGAAAAAAACATAATGATAAAGGTATATATGCCTAAATTCCTTAATATATCAAGGTGAGTAGCAAGATGGTCTGTTAATAATTTCTTCTCTTAATTTCTATTTTTAGAAAAAAAATGGATGAATTTACTGTATTAAAAAGCGTACGTAAAATATATAATTATACACATCTTATATA